TTTTTTCTGGTTTAGAATTCAATTTTTGTGAGAGTTCTTCTGCAATTTATATTGCTTTTGTGCAACGATAATGAAAGAAACCTTCTTTGATCCTTTTTTTTAAAGGTTAGGGCTTTTTTATTTCTGCTGAGCAAGTCTTTTTTTTGTTCCCTTTTACTGGATACATCTATACATATGAAGATATGCACATAAGTACATGTTAATAGGGATTTTGGGGTATTAGGATTATGAATACATCTACATATGTAAATTATAGTGATAGATACCGATTCCCGAATGAACTTTTGCATTTTGATCTTTTTTTTGAATGCTTGATATATCATTTGGTGTTGTAGATATGCTGGCATAACATTTTTACATCTAGATTCTAGACCATTCTTTTTTATCTCCATTTGTCTGTTTCAATTAAATTTTTTCAATTTGTTGGTAATCCAAAATCTTTTGCACAGTATTTTGGTTCACGTGTTGTGGCAGCAATCACCCATAGTTCCGCAGCTTAAAGCACAATGGGAGATTATGAAAGAAACGTAAGAAACCATACAAGTCCTTTTTACTTAACTTTTTTATCAACTCTGCTTTGGATATCAATTTATGTACTTTCATTAATTTGTGTTTTTGTTAATGTAGGAATATGAAGACTGGGACGAGTACGAGGAGGATGGTGATGAGCGAGTACAGGAAGAAGTTGGTGAAGATGAATATGAAGAAGAAACTTACCAGCCCACCCAGGAGGAACTTGACTATCTTGAACTGAGACAAAGGTTAAAAGAATCAATCAGGAAACAGATGAAGAAGGAATTGGGAACTTCAGATGCAGGCTCTCGGAACAGAATCAATGGGTTTAGCAAAGACAAGTAAGCATTTAATTGCTTGGAAAGAGTGTAATAAGTATAAGTCTATGTTTCTTTTATGTTGGGCAAATCACATTTTTCTTTAGTTTCGCTGCCTTCCATGGAATTGTTTTATAGTGCCTGGAGGATCTCTGTCCTAATTTTGCAATGAAGCTTCAAATTCATCTTTTTCCTTTTATAGCCCTATCTCCTGGTGCTCAAAATATGGTTTTGTTGTTGAAAAAAATGGATGGATTTAGGAAGTTGTAATTTCTAGCGCAATGGTTATTATCTTCGACAAGCTAAACTTTGTTTTTTCGTCCAAGGAAACTATTATAAGTTTTAATTTGCTTCTTTAGGCTAGCCTAGGCCAGAGGGCTAAAATTGCTTCATTAGTAATATCCCTTTGGGGTGGTTTTAGTCTGATCCTAATATTTTCTTATATCTTATCTTTCTAGTTATGGCACCTTCTTTGGTCCTCGATACCCTTCAATTTCTCAGAGAGTGATTCAAGAAAGCAAGTCCTTGTTGGAGAATCCAGATTTGGCAGCAAAGATTATGAAACCTAATCGTGCTGTAAGTGAATACTCATTCTCTTTCTCATTTCTGGAATTGATGGTCACCTCCTTTGATCACTTGTGGTATACGAGAACTTTGTTGAGATTATCAGCGTATCTTAGAAATGTCTTGGCATATATAAACCTATATATGGTGTTATTGTAACTACCTATGTGCTTTTGGTGCATATTTGTTAAAGTTGCTTCTCAGAAAATGACTTTATTTCTTGGTAGTAAGATATTTACTGCCAATCATGATAGTGCTAGGAACTCTTAATTTTCCCCCAAGTTACATGGTTGTGCTTCATTGAAAACTGAATCATTATCTTAAGTCTAAGTTGGATTGTTATAGGTTATGCAGAACAAGAGCTCTGTTGCAAAATCAGTCTCGTCAAAATCTCGGGACAACCATCTGCCAAGAGTCACAAATGGGGTAATGACTGTTGACTCACACAACTCGCAACTGGTGTCTGTTAATTTCTCTCCCTCATACGTCTTTGTTTGCCTTTGATAATTTTTGCAGTTAAAGAAAAAGGTTGAAATTCTTAAAAACACAAGGGACTATTCTTTTCTATTATCTGATGACTCCGAGGTTCCAGCTGCCTCGAAGAGTCTTCCCCCGAAAACCGTATCAGCCCCAAAGACTGGTGTGTGCAACAGCTCCTCTATACTCTCTGGTTTGCCTGTTTCAAAAGCACATAGCAATTTTATTTCTTCTTAAGGGAACTTATACAGGGATTTTGGTGGACTTGAAGATGCACGGTCGGCCCAACAGCAGCCCAACAGGAGCAGCAAACAGGTGGCAAATGAACGTGGTCGAGAACCCACCTCAAATGATCGTAACGTGAGGAGGCCAATGCCTTCAAGCATTCAAAACAAACCTAAATTAGGGCAGGAGAAGACGAAAATCCCTATCAAGCCGGCGATGGATCCTCGGAAGCAGCTAGGGAGCAATAATGGCAGTGGGCCTGGTCGGCCTGTTGGGCCCAAAAGCATGTCTTCTAGCTCTGCGCCTATCAGCACTAGCAAGGCAACCCCAGCTATTGCAAAACATACAATGGCTGGTGGTGTGCGTAAGCCAGCACCTTCTTCGGTGCAATCTGCCATTCGTAAACCCATGCCTTCGAATATGCAATCTGGGATTCATAAATCGGCTCCTCCCTCACGGGCTCAACCTTCGTTAGTTGTGAGAAAACCATCTGTACAGCAAAAGGAATCTCTAGGATCTAGCAAGCCGAAGCAAGCAGTCTCTTCCTCCTCTAGAGATCAGGTGTGAGGCAGTGTAGTATTCACTCTTTAATTTTTTTATTTTTTATTTTTTTTCCCAAAAAATTTAATTATTTATGGTCTTGGCAGTTGAGACGACCACCTCCCAAGGCGCCTGCTTCTCATCGTTTAGCAGATGAAAGGCCTAAGGCAAAATATAAGAGGCCGCTCGACGATGATGTTGATGATCCATCTGCTATTAGTAGTATGATCAGATCAATGTTTAGGTACCATTGTTACCTTGTCTTCTTTTGGATTTCTTTTTTTCTGTATACACTTTTTTATTGATCCTATTCGTAATCAGGGGAATAAAGGACGTCTGGTCCGTGGTCTGAGATATTTTATTCATCTCACCATTTATTGCTCTGTAGGTATAATCCAAACAATTTCAGTGATGACGATGATGATAGGGACATGGAGGCCAATTTTGAAGATATTGTAAGGGAGGAGAAACGCAGGTCAGTGAGCTCAACCGTATTGTGTTGAACTAACATTTTCTATTTTCTGTATGTTTCAGCTTTTTATCTCTGAATAATGTGTTCTGGAAATTCGTCCCTTATTCTAAAGCACATTTTAGGACAACAAGGAGAATTTGAAATTATGATTGTATCTGCTCTTGTTTTCGCCACTTATACCGTTCTAATGTAGAGTATGAAATCACTATATATGGTTCATTTGGAATTGTTAGCATTTCTGAATGATATAGTTGGTGGAAGTTACTGGTTTGTAGCAATAACTGGTTCTCTTGGTGTTATATATGGCTGACTAGGTGTACATGCAGTTATTTCCTTATTTAGATTGAATGTCTGTGCCAACTATACATTCTATTGAGCAAATGTGTTCCATTCAAATGATCTGTATTACCCTGGTATAAGTGAATATTTTGCTCGACTTCTGTATAATCTGAGTTAGTAAATTCATATTGTTGACCTACTGTGTGTGAACTGCCCAGTGCAAAAATCGCTCGAGAAGAGGACGAACGAGAGCTCCGGCTTGAGGAAGAGGAAAGGAGGAGGAGGTTGGCTAAGAAGCGCAAGCTGGGCCATTAGTGGTTGGAACAAAGCTTTTTAGTTCCTTATTTGTTTTGAGAAAACCTGAACCGATAATCCTCTGGCAAGAAGGCTGTTGCTGATAATAGTTGTGGGAAATAAGACTCCAACAAGCTCATTAATCTGAGAGTTATTGGTGCAATGTAACATGAGTTTGGAATTGAGTTTTATAGTAACCTTACTTTCAAGGGGACGTGAAGGCTGTAACTTATGAAGGTATTATTATTTTTTCTTAGTTTTTCTCTTGGTAACGATATTTCACATTTTCGTGTTCCGACTCTAGTGGGAACAAAAAGTAAATGTTACTGTTGATTGGGCTTGTGATTCATGCGTGTTGTTGACTGAACATAAGATTGTTATATTTGAATTTCCGAGATAGAATAAATTGTAGATGGATAATAGGATTTGCATGTTTTATTTGTGGCCTGGTGGATTGAATTTTTTGTTATATTTTCCTGTTTAAATTCTATGGTGAAAAAATTACACTATGGGTGTGTTTGGTTGGGAATGATATCACACCATTTGTTATTATATTTGTGTGTTTATTGTATGGGTGTGTTTGGTTGGGCATTATGGGAATGATATCACACCATTTGTTATTATATTTATGTGTTTATTATGTATTTGGTTGAACGTGTCTTGGCTTTGAAAAATGGCATGGCTCGGTCCAATTATACTTCAATTTGTTTATAACACATCCGGCCAAATTGTTGGGATACTGTTTTGCCAATCACTCAACAATTGTTGGGATACTGTTTTGGCAATCACTCACAATTTTCAGACCAAAATCCCCAAGTTCTTCCTTCCTTTCTTCCTTGTTTTTTTGCCTTTTCCTTCAAAATCATAAACCAACATCCCCAATTTCTTCTCCAAAATTAAATCTTTCGCATTTTTTCTTTTTTCCCCATTTTCTATCTCCAAACTCTCACAACATTCCCGAATTTCTGCTCTGTTATGAGAAGAACCCGCACAAAAGTTTGCTCTAACTTCTCCAACGGTTCTTTTTTGAATCCGTCGAGACGAGTGCCATCTTCAGCGATCCTCCAAGCGCAGCGCTGGTGGTCGTGGATTTCTACATTCGATCTGCGATTTCATGGACTTGACGACGATGATGGTGGATGATACAGGCTAAGCTTTAGGCGGTGGGCTCGCTGCGACTTTGGTGGCCGTGGATTACCGAATCCGATCTGCAATCTCAAAGCCTTGGCGGTGAAGATGTGATGTGCATAAATTGCATGGTGATGCGTCTTTTTTATGCGAGAGGGCATGTGAGGAAGAACAATGAAAAATTAAAAGTGTGGAATTTATTAATATTCAACCAAACATGCTAATAAATCAATGTGTTGATATAATAGTAAAACAACAACTTTATGGGCTCTATTAATTGGGTGGATAGATGTAATAATTGACATGGGATTTAATGAAGCCCCATAACATTATTGTAACCAATCACACCTGCAAATATACCTCATCTTCCCCTCGAAATCTCACCCAAAACACAAAAACGTGAATTCCAAGAGAGAGAAAGATACTACCTCCTATTCCTTTTAAATGTCATTTTCACATTATCAACTATTAACAAAATAAATATCATTTTAGATATTTTGTACATATTTTTCCATTATTACCCTTACCCAGCTATTAAATACACTACGTCTTTTCATAATCACTATTCATCATGTTTCTAAACATTCATCTCTATCCTCATTAACGGGAGTTATTATTGGCAAAAAAAATATTCTTAATAATTGTGCAATTTCTCAAAACGACATTTATTATGAATAGGGGAGAGTATTATATTTCGAAAACGGTGTATGCTCTTTTATTCTCTTCTAATCTAAATCATGTAAAAGAGATTTTAAGATGGGGGGTTTCTGATAGTTCTTTGCTCCACCAAGACTTTTGGGATAGTGTCAGGGACATACTACATAAGATCAAAAGGTGATCTTTTCTCACAGTCACATGTGTGACTATTAAAATCGACTCAAAGTCTGCAAAAAAATTATATCGTGATTTCTTCCTAAACTCTAAATCCATTGAACTTAGAATTAAATTCGTCGATGTTCGATA